TGTGGCTTTTCTTGCAGCGCGCGCGTGCCCTGAGCGGTTTCTAGCAGAGTGCCCTGGTTCCCATGAGTACGCGGGTACAGACGGGACTGTAAGACTGCGTGTGGAGGCAGCTCGCAGCGTCTGGAAAGGCCTTTGTAGTGTTGGCTTGCTATCTGAATTGCGTGTTGGTCGCGGAAAGCCACGCGTACCACGAGAGCCGCGTAACTGGAGGCCGCCTTGCAGGGGCAGCGCTGGGTTTGGCTTCAGCTGTGCACCTGGGAGCGTTTTAGCTTGGTAATGCTGATCCCGCCAGGTGAGTATTGGGCCTGCCACCTGGATGTGAGTGAGACGCGGTCACGTGGCAGCTGGTAAGCCAAGACCGGTGGATGCCCCGGGCCGAAGCGGTTCGAACTGCGTCCGTTCCAGAAATGCCATGGAACCCCAGGTGCGGACTTGGTAGCGTTCTGAGTTTACGAAGGAGTCGCGGCGAGATGCAAGCAGCAAGGACTTGGAGATCCCGGTGTTACGCCTTGGGCACTGGAGGTCGTTGATGGGATTCGGAACATGCCGTTTAGGGAATGCGATGTTTTGTAAGAGGATGCTTGCTTAGCTGTCGCAAAGAGACTCCCGGGGTAACGTCTCGGTCATGGTCGGCTGCACAAGTGATGTGGCTTGTACCGGGGACCGAAATAGGGATTTCATCTGTATAACCCAGAGGTGGTTTTGGGCTTTGAATTCTGTATTAACGGTTGTTTTCTTTCCAGACTGCAAAATTCAAAACGGGGCTCAAGGTATTCGTTTCATCTACACCAGAGAAGGCAGACCCAGTGGCGAGGCTTTTGTTGAACTTGAATCAGAAGATGAAGTCAAACTGGCCCTGAAAAAAGACAGAGAGACTATGGGACACAGATATGTTGAAGGTTTGACTTACATTGCCCTAGTAACAGTAAATAAAACATTAAACATAGAGGTCTTACCCTTCTGAATTTTAGGTATTTGACCGCATGGAAATGGTCATCTAAGGGAGTTTGTGGCAGCTCTTCCTAGCTTATCTAAAGACCCAGGAAGTCTGAGCGTTGTTCTCTCACTTTCCAAAGTTGACTAATTCTAAGCACCTCTTTCAGTATTCAAGTCAAACAACGTTGAAATGGATTGGGTGTTGAAGCATACTGGTCCAAATAGTCCCGACACGGCCAATGATGGCTTTGTGCGGCTTAGAGGACTCCCCTTTGGATGTAGCAAGGAAGAGATTGTTCAGTTCTTCTCAGGTATGTAGTCCTGTGTGTTGCTGAGCAGTGAGTTTTGGCTAGTCGGGCAAGGTGACTTAGACCTTAAAGTCGAGCAGCTCAGGTACCTACATAGGCTACAAAGTAAATGCTAATGAATTCATGTTTTCTCCTAGAGACTTTCAAATAGTTTAAGCCCATCTTAAAGGTGGAGGTTAAGTACTTGCAAAATGTTTATTTTGCCTGTGTTTAGTGTATTGTAGCTCAGGGTAGATCTCTGAGGATTGTCCTCAACAGTTCAACTGTTGTCTTCATATCGCATATTGTCCCCCAAGTGCTTCAGGTGAAAGGTAAGATCGCATTAGATGACTAGCGCGATAGGTTTTTGTGAGTGATGCCAGGTGTCTGTCGTAAGACAGGCTTGTGAGACCATAAGGAACTCTGATGGTCTCATTCTCAGTACGCTAAACACTGGTAAAGAAGCTACTTGGTTTAGCAGCAAGTGCGTTATAAGCTTACTGAAAGTCAGTGTAGCGAGAGTAGTTGGAATGTTTGTAGTCTCTGTATCTGAAATACAAAGTTTTGAAACTGTTTTGGGCCTAAAGTGTTTGAATGTTTTTATGTTGAAGAGATAAGATTGCATGTTTAGCAGAATGTTAGATCTTATATTTCTAAATACCGTTATGAATATTCATGATATGATAACTGGAATTAAGAGTAAGAAATCCTTTCATGGTTCAGTGTAGTTATGTTAAAAATTTGAGTATTAGATATGTATCAAGTCCTAATATTGTCAGAAGTTTTAAAAGCAAGTCTGTTTTGTTTTATCTAAATTGGTGAGAATTGAATGCTATCTGTCAACGTTAAATATGAACATAATTTCATATCTTCTAGGAAAGTGCTTTAAACCCTTTTTGTAAGCTTGGGAATGTATCCACGGAAAGGATTTTTCATAGACGGCATTTCCAGAAGTGAATCATACTACTGTTAGAACATGAGTGCATGATTGTGCTGTGTAGATAGTTTTGTTGAAAGTATAGATTGTATGTTGTCAATTACGATTTAAGTAATGTTTCAATTTTTATATGAAATGTTTAAATGTACTTTTTCTAAAACTTGAAGTTCCAATAACTTAAAGCATTGAACTATATAAATGAGGTAAAAGGTGCCTTGAATTTAGAACTGTTGTTACTTAATGCTTGAAACTTATTCTTGTGTAAAGTTGCATAGATAAGTGTTCTTAAAACTGTTGAATTCTTAATGCATCCTGTGCTGAGCAAGTTTTTGAAAGTACACTGTCCCATGGGGTGTGTTAAGAATTGAGCTATACTTCGTAATAATGGAACTTCATATTATTGCAATGCATATTTAAAGAGTTCTTGTTGAAAGCATACCGTTCGCCTAAAGTTAAAATTCTGGTTTATTTAAAGCTATAAGAAGAATCATTTCTGGGCTTGTGATGTTAATATTGCCCCCCTACTGGGGTTATTTGTCCTTGGGTTGAAGGGTTGGAAATCGTGCCAAATGGGATAACATTGCCGGTGGACTTCCAGGGGAGGAGTACGGGGGAGGCCTTCGTGCAGTTTGCTTCACAGGAAATAGCTGAAAAGGCTCTAAAGAAACACAAGGAAAGAATAGGGCACAGGTGGGGATGGATGGTTGGTTGGATATGTCACTTTTCTTATGGTAAACAGTTAAATCCATACTCTCTCTGCTTAAAAGGAAGAAATGCGATCCATTCCCTAGGCCCAGTCAATTGGTGTGTTGCTACAGTTTTCAAACCTTTCCCGTCTCAAAAGTCCCATGTCGCATTAAACAAAATTTGGGGTTTAAAAATTGTCCCCGTTGAATTTGGTCTGCTTTAGAATTTTGTGAGATTCTTAATTTCTTAATGTCAGTCAGTGGAGTTGAGAGACTATGGCTTTAAGAGATTAATGCAAACCTGGCTTTAGCTGTAATAACACCCACCTAGTAAATTAATATTACCATAAGAAAATGTGATACTTTCTGATCTTGTTTTTAAAGTTGAAATGCAACAACCTTTTTCTTGCTGTATAAATATTCTGCATATGTATTAATAAGCATAGCTTTCAAGAAATTGTCACAAAAGGTTTTATTCTCTCTGCTTGTGACTATTTTTCATTGAAGCATGCGCTTTACCTATGCTGATTCCTACTAAGCATAGGCTGGGGTATTTATTGGCGAAAGGAAGTGTGTAGTGTGGGTTGAATGGCCGGTGAAGGCTGGCCTTTTAGCCCACTTGCTACACATGCTGCCAGTGGACTTAAGACTTGGCTTTTGACAGTTGAGTGGAATTCTTTCCCTCCTCAAATGTTTACTCAGAGTGCTCCTCTCTACCCTTAAGGTTGGGCTCTGCCTTAGAGGAGTGTTTTTTTTCTGTAAAGTTTACATTGTCTTACTATTGAGTGAATTTCTGGTCATTGCCTATGCAAATATAAGAAAGCTGGCTGTAATTATTAGTCAGTTTCATGGCTATGACTAGACTGTTTTCTTGTGTAGCTGAAAACCTGTATGAAATGAACTAATGTTCTCTCTCCCCTCCACCCCTCCCTCGTGAACAATGCTTTAGGTATATCGAAATCTTTAAGAGCAGCCGGGCTGAAGTGAGAACGCACTATGACCCACCCCGAAAGCTCATGGCCATGCAACGGCCCGGTCCCTATGACAGGCCTGGGGCTGGCAGAGGGTATAACAGCATTGGCAGAGGTGCTGGCTTTGAGAGGATGCGGCGTGGGGCTTATGGTGGAGGTGTGTGAGCGTGCGCCCGGGTGGCAGGCCTGAGCCTTTGTCCAGGTGTTTTGTCGGATTGGTGACAGGTGACGCTTCTGTCTTTCAGGCTATGGAGGCTATGATGATTATAATGGCTATAATGATGGCTATGGATTTGGGTCTGACAGATTTGGAAGAGGTAAGGTAAGAATTGAATTTCCCAGCTTAAGGATGCCTACATCTTGTCCATCTAGACCTCAATTACTGTTTTTCAGGCATGTCTGATCACAGATATGGGGATGGTGGCTCTACCTTCCAGAGCACAACAGGGCACTGTGTGCATATGCGTGGATTACCCTACAGAGCTACCGAGAATGACATTTACAATGTGAGTGTGAGGCAGACTCACGGGTCTGATGTTTTGGCATGACAGTGAAAATCAGGGCCGCCTTTTATTGAGTTAAGTGAAGCCTGTGTTAGAAAGTTTTTTGGTAACAGGAGGAAGAAGTGGTGTGATCTGTGAAATGCTTTGTGTTGCAGTTCTTTTCACCACTCAATCCTGTGAGAGTACACATTGAAATTGGTCCTGACGGCAGAGTGACAGGTGAAGCAGATGTCGAGTTTGCAACTCATGAAGATGCTGTGGCAGCTATGTCGAAAGACAAAGCGAATATGCGTAAGTGTGATTTCAGCGGCTGGGAGCTCTTTCCAGGTGGCTGCACGACCAGCACTTGTGATAGAAGAGTGGTGAAGGATGGATGAGGTTTTTCTCTCCAGTGATGTGCTAATTCGAAGGGGTGTGTGTTGCATGCACACATTCGAAGGGGTTTAAGAATTGGTATGACTGAAAGGGTTTGTGATATGTATATCTTGAAGTATGTCCTTAATTGACAATTTAGTGACTGTTTAAAGGCTAAGTGTTGAAATTGGTTTAAGTAAATCACTTAAGAAAGCAGGCAGAATTTTTTTCTTTACCAAAAGTATTTTGAAGCTCGCAGATGTACTTGTTTAAGAACATTAAAGTGCTTATTATTTCTTTCACCAACAAACATTTTCAAACTTTTTTTCTCTCATTTCAGAACACAGATATGTAGAACTCTTCTTGAATTCTACAGCAGGAGCAAGCGGTGGTGCTTACGGTAGCCAAATGCTAGGAGGCATGGGTTTGTGTAAATATCACTTTAGTGTCTTTTTTTAAGCTAACCTTGTATGCCTTTTCTCTCATTTCAGAACACAGATATGTAGAACTCTTCTTGAATTCTACAGCAGGAGCAAGCGGTGGTGCTTATGGTAGCCAAATGATGGGAGGCATGGGCTTGTGTAAATATCGTCAGTTTTTTTAAACACCAAAATGTTTATATCTGTATAAGTCGATGATAAGTTATTTGATGAGTTTAGGATAACCATTTGAAGTTAGACAGAGCAGAGCAGTTCCTTGATTTGAATGAAGTTTGTGTCTGGCTTATTTAAGTCCCTGTGTGAGTTATTTATAGCTGCTTAGGATAGATAATTCAGATCAGATTTGAGTACTTTTGGGGGAGGGGATTACTGAATGAAACTAGTTTAAGTTTTCTGAGTATAAAGTTTAAATCTAAAATAGATATTTGGCAGAGGCACAGGATTAAATAAATTTGTTGGGTGTAGTTAGGTGTTCAGTGATTACTGTGTGTTAGTACCTTGATATGTCAAACTAAGGGGAAACGCCACTAACTCCAGTCAAGCAGTTTCATGAGTTCGTCACGATGCCTCTACTTACGGAATCCTGTGGAATTAGTCCTGCTTATGTGTCTGTACTGTTAGCCATGTGGTCTGTAAGTATCTGACCAGCGCAGACGGTGGACAGGAAGGAGGATAGCCTGCTAACAGACGCAGGAGGAGGCAGAGGGTCATAGGAAGAGCAGGTCAAGACTGGAAGAGATGAGAGGTGTAGTTACAAGCCCGGTACCACCAGGTACCACTCGACCTAAGGAGCAGGGCTCTAATGTCCTCTTAACTTACAGCAAACCAGTCCAGTTACGGGGGCCCGGCCAGCCAGCAGCTGAGTGGTGGCTACGGCGGCGGCTACGGTGGCCAGAGCAGCATGAGTGGATACGGTGAGCGGGTTTCACACACTTGGAGTCAGTTGCAGGCGGGTGTCCTTAGGTGGGAATGTGCAGGCTTCTTTCTGGTGAAATTGGGCTCTTTAAATGAATGCTTCGATCCCAGTGTAACTCTTCGTACTAGCTTAACTTTCAGAAACGATCACTGGGAGGGGGAAGGAAGTGTTCTGTGAATGGAAAACTAGGCAGTGCAACTTTGGAATACTGTCAAGCCAGAAAACACCTGCCTCCATTTATTGGAACGAGTTGTTCACTTTTTTGTCTTTTGGTTAGCAGTAAATCAATTTTAGATGGAAGGAGAGCGTTAATAGAGTGGTGGTTGGGTTCAGGACCGTATTTGCTAGTCAGTTAACCTAGGATTGGTTTTATTAATTTTTTCAATTGGTCTAAAGAATGGTGATTTTGGTATTATAGTCTTACCCTACAAAATCCTTTTGCAGACCAAGTTTTACAGGAAAACTCCAGTGATTTTCAATCAAACATTGCATAGGTAAATATTTTCTCAAAAAATATAATTTGAATTCCCAATAGCAAGTCATGTTGTGATAACACCTGCCATAGCAGTCAGACTGAACTCCATGGAGGCTGCCAGTGGGCACAGTGAGCTGCCTTTAGTCCAGCTGCCTCACTTCTGCCCACGAGAGCAGGAAAGGCAGAGGCTTCCCCTGTGCTCCCTGCTCGTATGTGCCGTTTGAGAGACACATGTGAATGTTGCTGGTAAATTTTTTTAAAATGCCTTGTTTAGCTTTAAAAATAAGTAATTTTGCAATTTTTGAAAAACACTAGTTTTCCTTTAAACTTATTTTCCATGTTGATCCTGAAGCGTCCGTGTAGACGGTAGCACGAGAGTCGGGCAAGTTGGTTGCAGAGAAAAGGGGTTAAGAGAGACTTGTTTGGAGTCGGGATTCCCCTTGCCCAAACATGCTTCTTGCCGGCGGACAGCAGCCGTTTGCACTCGTGTACCTGTACGCCTTCTCCTCGGAATGCTGTGTGTGACGGGCCTGCCAGCCAGAGGCCTTCCTGACTTGTTGACCTTGGTCTCTCCGCAGGCAGCCAGGAAGCAGTGAACAGCAGCTACTACGGTAGTGGAAGCCGTGCATCTGTGGGCGTGAACGGCATGGGAGGGGTGTCTGGCGTGTCCAGTGTGAGTGCTGGATGGGGAATGTAACCGATCCTGGTCACTGACTCTTGGCCAACTTTTTTAAAGGAAAACCTTCAGTTTAACCATTTTGCAATACGAGCTTGTGATTATGCTTATTCTATAAGTGAAATCAGGATTGTCTTCAAGACTTAAGGTTCAGTCTTTTGAACACAGCACTCATCTAGGATGTGACAGTGAAGTTGAGTAAACGATAACTGTTCAACAAGCCCCAGCTTTTTTCAAGGTAGTTCTCTTGTAGGATGTACGTAAGCAGTAAGCGTATTTAGGTTCAAGCAGTTGAATTATGTTAAATGTTGCTCTTATACCCACATGGCATTTGAACACTGTTTGGATGCATGTTGAAAAACATGCCTTTTTTTTTTTTTTTGTAAAACTCATAGGAGCTGTGTCTACAATTAAAGTGAAACCTTTTGGCATGTTTGTTAATTCTAGTTTCATTTAATAACCTGTAAGGCACGTAAGTTTAAGCTTTTTTTTTTTAAGTTAATGGGGAAAATTTGAGACGCAATACCAGTACTTAGGATTTTGGTCTTGGTGTTTGTATGAAATTCTGAGGCCTTGATTTAAACTTTTCATTGTATTGTGATTTCCTTTTAGGTATATTGCGCTAAGTGAAACTTGTCAAATAAATCTTCCTTTCAAAACTGCACCGTCTTGTCTGTGCGTCAGTGTCATGTGGGCTGTGTCTCTGGGCTTTGTCACAGGGCCACAAGAGACTCGGCAGTTGAGGCCATTGGGTAGATGTCTTCAGACTCCCGTCCGGTGCAACTGAAGGTAACCCTGGGCCCTTGTGGAAGGGCTGTGTGTGGTCTGGCTGCACAGGACCCAGTCTCCACTGCCTGCCTATTCCTTGCCTAAGCACTTGCACCAAGAGGGGGCGGTGCCAGAGCCCTGGTGCATGGCCTGCATGTCCGCGGGGCCCTTGTGGCATGGCTGGGGATGTGGAGACACCCTTGCCAAGCCAGTAACTTGCTTTGATTCTATGTGGGGTCTTGGATGAGGAGCTAGCTTGTAGATGGTTTTGAGCTTTTTTTTTTTTTTGAGTTGGAGTCTCACTCTGTCAGCCAGACTGGAGTGCAGTGGCCGCTCCCGTCCACCGCAGCCTCGACCCACTGGGCCCCGGTGATCCTTCCGCCTCAGCCTTCCAAGTAGCTGGGACTACAGGCGCATGCTACCACGCCCGGCTGGTTTTATTGTAGAGATGAGGTCTCGCCAAGTTGCCCAGGCGGGTCTCAAACCCACGGGCTCAGGTAATTCACTCACCACAGGATTATAGGCTGAGCCCCAGAGTGGCTGGTCTTGAGCTTTTTTTTTTTTTTATTTTTTTTTGAGTTGGGAGTCTCACTCTTGTGGCCCAGGCTGGAGTCTGGAGTGCAGTGGCTGTTCCCAGCCACCGCAGCCTTGACTTGCTGAGCTCCGGTGATCCTTCTGCCTCAGTCTTCCGAGTAGCTGGAACTACAGGTGTGCGCTACCATGCCCAGCTGGTTTGTTTTATTGTAGAGATGAGGTCTCACCAAGTTGCCCAAGTGGGTCTCGAACCCGTGGGCTCAGGCGGTCCACTCACCTCAGCCTTCCAAGGCAGGGATTACAGGCTGAGCCCCCAAGCTCGGCTAGTTTTGAGCTGCTTAAGCCCCACTTAGCAAAATAGAATCTGTGAATACCTTCCTGAGAGCAGACCGGTAACGTGAATTCCCAGACGGCATCCCTGTTTTGTAACTTAAGCAACGCGCTAAAAAGTATTCTCTGTAAGGAGAGCTGCCTTAAAGCAGTGCTGAAGGGTGTGCCAGAATCCTTTAGGTCGTGGGAGAGTTGGATCTGGGACGTCCTACAGGCTGGAAGCTCTCCTCCAGCCTTCCCGGGCAAGCCAGCAGGGCGGGCAGACTGGAGGAGGGCTCCGGACTGGCTGTCACTGGGCGGCTGCCCACGGGAGCATGGGGCCCTGCTTGGAGGGTCCTGCCACAGGGACGGGGTGCAGTCCACACTGGCGGAGGGAAGGCCTGCGACGGGCCGTTTTGCTTTTGTCTCGAACAGGTCTGGAGACGAGCTGTTTCCAGAGGAGGCATGTTGAGACTTGAGGTTGAGCCGAGTTCTAAGCCCAGCGTGGCCGAGACGCAGGCAGGTCCAGATCCGCACCTGCGTTGAGGCTGGCGGGCTCTTGCCCTCTCTGGGCCCTTCAGTTTGCGCTTCGCGCTTGGGCGAGAGCCCGAGGACTCGGCGGTCGGAGGTCAAGTGAGCTCACCCGGAAGCAGTGGCAGAGCTGCTGCCCAGGCCCCGCCCTCGGCCCCTGCCTCCCCGGGCCCGGGCGCGGAAGCGCGGGCCTCAGCAGCCAGGGCCTCAGCAGCCAGTCTCCCCGGCAGGAGGCCCTGGGCCGGGCCAGGGCCTGAGGCTTCTGAGGTGCGGCTCTGAGGAGGAAGCTTGTCCTGGGCACATCGGCCACTCGGGCCTGGGCCGCCGACTGAAGCTGTTGCTTGGGGGGGAGGGATTTGCCAGGCGCCGTGCTCGCCGACTGACCTCAGCAGCCAGCAGGCACTTGCAGACCCTGCTGGGCGGCGCTCCCCGGCAAGTCGGCTGCCTTGAGGCCCCGGTGCAGATGCAAGGCCGGGATGGCCCAGAAACTTCTCGAAAACAGTCTGGCCCCCAACGGCGCTTGAGGTCCTTGGGGGGGGAGGGGTCCTGCAGCCTCTTCCACAGCTGCACGTCCCTGGTGGGGTTTGAGACCCCGCGAAGACCTGGCTCGGGCTGCACAGACCTGGCTTTGAAGGCCTGGGACCAGCCTTGCCAGGTGAGCCCTGCTGAGGACCAGGGGTCCGCGGCTGAGGCTGCAGGGACAGTGGCGTGCGTGGAGCCGTCCAGGAGGGAAGGGGAGGACGCCCCGCAGGAGTCGGCCCGGCCCTGGTTCCAGCCCGTCCAGCAGTGGGGGGCCGAAGGCAGGAGGGGAAGCCTGCAGACTCGGACTGAGGCTGCCACTGGGTCCTGTGTGGGGTCGGCCGTGAGTGCGTTCAGTTGGGAGCCAGGACGGGGGTCCCGGCACTGCCGAGTCTTGCCAAGTTGCTGAGTGCTGCCAAGCCTCAGTCTTGGCGGTTGCGTGAACTGCGGCCTCCTGACCTGTGTGCCAGGCGTGGGGTCACCTCTGCGGTGGGCCCAGCCCGTGGGCTCTGTACTCTGCTCTCCCCACGGGCCTCAGCACGTGCGGACGCCGAGGCTGAAAGCAGGTTCGCGCGAAGCCGACACGAGTCACCGGCACACACCATGGTGGAAACGGGGGGTTTACTGAGGACCAAGGGCAGGTGGGACGGGGCAGAGAAGGCGCAGGCGCGGCCCGGCCAGGGCCTGCCGCGGGACAGCTGCTGCGAGAGGCGGGGCCTTTGACAGTAGCAGTCTTGGCGCCACGCAGAGTCCCGGCCAGCCCCGAGGCCAGTGAGCCCAGACGCTCCGGCCAGGCCGCCTCCACGC